CTTCTCTCCATCCACTCTTCCCTCAGAGGTCCTGGGTTTATCTTCTCCAGACTTTGGCAACAGCCTCCAGTCTGTTCTCACTGGTGGCCTGCCTCGCCTCCTGTAAACTTATCCCCAACATTTGTTCATTCTTTCAACAAGCTTCTATGAAGCTTCTTGTGATCACTAGACATTGTGTCAGGCTCTGGAGATCAAGGGATGAACCAGACAGATAAGGTCTCTGCCTTCACGGAATCTCTGCCTAGCAGGGGAGGTGGGAAGTGAGAGGCACCCAGTGGAGGAAGAACTAGACCATCTTGGAAGCAGTGAATACTTTGAAGAAAAGAGAGTGGGAGCTAGGCTGGAGAAGGCCTAGCACATCCCAGGAAGTATCTCGGAGGTGGTGGTACAGGAGCAGAGACCTAAATGGCAAGGAATTCTGGCGAACAGCCTCAGCAAAGGCCAAAGACATCAAGCGATTGCGCACTGGACAGTCTCGGGGGAGGGAGAAGAAGCTTGGGACTGGAAGTATTGATGGCATTGGGGGTGGGTCCTGGGTTGTGGGGAGTTGGGGAGAAAGTGATATGAAGGAAGGTCGATAAGGCGTGCTATGGCTGCACCACAAGGTTAGACATATGTGTTGGGGGGGTGGACAGAGTTCATGGGAGTCATTGAGGAATTCCAAGCAGCAGGTATCATGATAGAGTTCTGAAATCTCTCTCTACCTAAGCTGCCTGTTTCCCTCATAGCAGTCTTTCTCAGTGCTTATCAGATCAGGAGGCCCCTGGCTTCATTCCCTGGTCTACACAGCTGTGCAAGATCAGACTCCTGCTGACACGGCAGTGTTAACCCTGGAGCCACCATGCTCAGCCACACCCATGCCCAGCCACGCCCATACCCAGCCACACCCACACCCACCCACACCAATGCCCAGCCACACTGGCCTGCTTTCTCCTCCAGTAGGCTGAGCTCCTTCTGCTTAAGGGTTTCTTTTTTGCATCTTGTTCCCTCCACTTGGCATGCCTTTCCCCCACACAGAGGGCACCCATCAAGACCACCCAATGGATGTATGTCTTCTTCCTTCAAGGATTGCTTTCTTCTGGTGAAACCCTCTCTTCAACGCTCATGCAAACGTAGACACTCCTCCCTGTGAACTTTCCTGAGTACCCGAGGATTATAGCATCACAGCATGTGCCCTCTCCTACACATACGGTATAAACTCCTTGAAAAGGATTCTGGTCAAGCCTCCAAGAATTGTCAGCACCTGTCACAGCCTGGCCGGCCATGCTGACTACCAGGTGCTGAGCCCAGGTTATCACGAATGAGGTAGGCACTATTTTAGCCACATGTCTACAGAGTTGGTAAATGGTCCTGCAGGTCTCTCCAGCACCCTCAGAGAATGTCATCTTGTGCAGAGAATGCAGTGTGGTCTCTCGGATGGGCATAAATTAGGACTTGCAAGCTCACAGGCCCTCAGAGACTGGGCAGGGGTGGGACGGGGGAGCAAGCTGGGTGCATTGGTGGCACTGTGCAGCCCACTGACAAGGGCACTCACAGTTCAGCTTCTACCCACTGGCAGGGCTGCCCATTTTTAAGGGAAGCCAAGAATCTGGGTTTTATACAGGAATCTCCTGGTTTTAGTATTTTGTTGTTGTTGTTTTAACACTGCTCAGGCCGTACAATACATGCCTATGGGTCACATTTAGTCTGGGGACCTCTATGAGCTGCTTGAGGAGGGGATGCTGGCACCATCTTCACCAAAGGTCAGAACCCAAGTGATTGCCAGGGGGAATCCAGTCAGAACAGTGAACTCAGCTTGCTGAAGAATTGATGGGTTTGTTCTGGGAGGCGCTGCAATCCCCCTTTAAGACTTCCAGAAACAGCAGGCACATTTGAAGATTCAAACATTTAAATACAGGTTAGGTATTAGGTAATACCAACAAATCATCATTAATTTTGCTGGAGGTGATAATGGCACTGTGGCTAAATAGGAAAATGTTGTTTATTTTTTAGAACTACATCCTGAAGTATTTAGGAGTGAAATACTATGATTACTATAACTTACTTCAGAACACCTTAGCAAAAAGGTAAAAATAACAAAGCAAATGTAGAAAAGTTAAGACTTTATTCAAAGAAAAGTTATGGGGAGTTCATTAGAATTTGCTCTTTTTGCCAGAGCAAATTTTTTATAATAAAATAAAAAGCAGAACAAAACACGGTCTCAGGAATGAGCATATGTGAATTGTCCTGAGATCCTACATGCCCGCCAGGTCACATTCTACTGAGTCATGTGTGGCAATTCAGACACAGTGTCTGCCCCTCTAGGGGCAGAATAAGACCTAAGGGAAACAGTGTTGGGGCAGAGGGTGGGAGTCAGGCACACAGGGAACAGGCTTTCTTCCTTCACACAGCAAATGACTTCTGCTAAAGCCAATCCAGAAGTGGAATCTCTATGAGCTGATCTGTGGTTTGGGGGAACTCTGGTTTAGGGGAACCTGCAGGTGTTCTGTCTGAAGGTTGAAGGTTGTCTTCTGGGTTATGGAGGCTGTCACTGCTCACTGGTTGATGACCTGTGACCTTGCTCTCCCGCCTCCTAGGTTTGAGCTTGTGGGCAAGTGCCTCACCTTTCTCAGCTCCCATTACCAGCCTCAGTGTGCAAATGCAGTGTAGGGAAAGTTCTGAGCACAGATGGTGAGTTAGGACTTGACAAATGTCATTGCTTATTCTGAGTAACTCACGTAAAAATTGCTTGGATAATAAGTTGGGCTGGCTGCCATGTTGGATTTTCTGAGAGCAGGACCTGGCTCAGGTTTCTAGGGACCAGATATTGTGAGGAATGAACACTTGGTGTAGGGATTTTGGATTCCTCCAGGGGCCTCTGAGACTCATGGGTGGAACCCTCTGGCCTTCATTTTGGGGGACCCTCACTCTTCTTGGGCTCTGTAGCCCAGCCGTGCCCCACGGGTAGCATGAGGGACCATCTCCAATTTCTTCTTGTTGCTTTAGAGTGTTTCAAGCATCCCCTTCCAAAAAAAAGAAAAATCTGTGCGAGTCTTCCAGGGCTGATTAGCTTCTTTCTTATCTCCTGCAGCAGAGCCTCTCAAGCTGCCTTGAGAGTTTCTTGTGTAGATTAAAAACTGGGCTTGATTAGCCCCATTTGGCACTAACCTGGCATATTAACCACCTTCCCAAGGAAGAGTATCTAATTGCTTAATGACAGGTAGAGACTTGGAGACCAAGGGGCAGAACCAGCATTCAGACCAGGTGAGTGGAGCTGAGTGGCTCTGGCTTGGGCTAGGGGACCCTGGGCTCCCTTAGGCGGATAGGCTGTGTGAGATCTTAGCCACTGACCTGGGCCTGCCCTGACGGGGACAGTGGAGTGGTCCAAGGCAGTGTGAGAGTGCTGCCACTCCTCTAGAGGAAAGCCCCACTGAGGCAGCTCATGCGGCGGCTTCAGACGAGAAGACTTCTCTGTGACTTTGGAGTGATCCCGAAGGGCCCCTGCTGGCAGTAGATGCTCCATGGTTCTCTCTTCCACTTGGTGTTTGGGAGAGGCTTGCCTTGTGAAACTGGAGTTTCAGATCAACCACCAGCAATTTCTTAAGATAAGTGTATCCCAACTAACTGCTTGGAGAGGTTTTCTTGTATAGGATATGCTTTTTGCTGAAAAATTATTCTTTCTTTATCTGAAGTTCAGATTTCGCTGAGTGTTCGGTATTTTCATTTGCTAAATCTGCCAATCCTGGCTTAGAGGTGCCACCCAAGAAAGAACCTTCCTGCAACACTCGGGGCCTTGGCAGGACTCCATGGGACTCTTTGTCAGGGGCCAGGGCACACACTAGGTGGTTTTCTGGTACTAACAGACTGTGACCAGGCCCTGCCTTGGGCCAACTGTGTTCATATGGGGGAATGGAAACTAGTGCTCCACTGGGTCTATGGAGCCTCCTGGGTGAGGTGCCCAGCTTTGTTCCAGGTCACGGTTTTCTTGTTTGTTCCATGCAATTCATCCTTGTACGTTTCTTCCTGTTGTGTGAGGTTGAAGTGACCCTTTGTCTCAACTGCCCTCTACATACTGTTCATACTTCACCCTGCTTGCTCTTCAGTTCAGAATGAATAGCACCTTCTCAGAGAAAGTCTTTCCTGGCCCACACTGCACAGGGGTTTTTGTTATAAGTCAGTGCCTACCAGCACAGAAGCCTGTGAACAGGACCAGCAACAGGGTTTGTGGGACCCAGGGCAACAGGAGAGGGTATTAGAGTATCTAGGTGGGGACTGCAGAGCATTGTGCAGTCTAAGCGCAGCCCCTCTGTGCCACCTGGTTGCATGCCCTTGAAGCAGGTCCTGCCTACAGACATGGGTGGGGTGGGTCATGAGTAAGTGAGGGGAGTCTGGAGCACAGCTGGGTGGTGAAGACTGTCTAGACCTGGGCACCCGCGCCTCCTTTCCGGGGCTGTGCTGCATAGCCCCAGCCTAGTATGGCCTTGTGGGTAGTCTACTTTTTCAAGAGAAGGTGGAAATTGTTTATTTATTAATAAAGTCTCTTAATCAGTGGCAACTGATTCATATTTTGAGCAACTCCCATGAAGGCAAAATTAAGCATGTGCTCTGGAGGGTGGCATTTGGTCTGATTAACAATTATGCATTGACCTGTGTGCTCACTGGATTTCTTTGTTTCTCCCTTTCTGGCCTGTGACCTCCGTGAGGGTCACAGCAGTGACATTTTGTGTTCATTCTTCTGTCCCTGGTTCCCAACACCATGCTTGACACATTGTAGGTGCCCCAGAAGTAACCACACTTGCATGAGAACACAGCAGATGTCGTTTCTGGACCCGCTTTTCTCCCACATTAATAATAATAATAATAGTAATAATAGCATCTTGTGATCATGACCATTTGTGCATGGTAACTCTGAGTGTCAGTGCCCTACACAGTGATGATTGGTTATTGCCTGTTCTCTGGAGTCTCCTCTGGCTGGGTGAGGAAAGCATACCCAAGTGTAGATTTTTTGTCTGTTTTCTCAGGATGCCAAGTTTGTAGAGGAACGAAGAAAGCAGCTCCAGAATTACCTGCGCAGTGTCATGAACAAAGTCATCCAGATGGTCCCTGAGTTCGCTGCCAACCCCAAGAAAGAGACTCTCATCCAGCTGATGCCCTTCTTTGTGTAAGTACCATCCACATGGGCATGCTCTGCCCACCCCACCCAGTAATTCTTCTGTTGTCTCTCTGGAAGTTTGAGGAGTGAGTGGCCCTCTGCAGTGCCCCACACATCCTGAGACCCAGGTGCATGTGGGGTAACTGTTCTTGATGCTGAAACAGAGATGCGCCCTCAGTGCTTTGGAGTTCCTAAAGGTCTCAAAAGAGCACTGTTGATTTGGGGTTCACAAATAAATTGAGGGCTCTGTGGTTTTCCACTTTCCTGCATTTTGATAGAAGGAAAGTTCCATTTTCTATGCAGCTCATAGGGTTCCACAACTAAAACGATCTGTGTCAGGGCTTCTGAAGCTTGAGTAATGAACACAAGGAAAAAATTCTCAGACTTCCACCTGTACTGACTTCTATTATTTCCGCATTAATATTACTTAAACGTGAATAAACTGAAGCTAGTTCTAAATTCCTTGCCTTTTATTTCTTATAAAAGTAAACAATAAATTGAAGAAGTTTACATTTCGTGCACTTACAAAATCATTACAAGTCACAATTGCCACTTAACAAGTGTGCTGCTGTTGTTCTGAAATGAAAATTGTGCTCACAGTGGCATGTGGCAGCTTCTCGCATTTGCCATGTGCCACCCAGTGTGTCTACACACTGGCTCCATCCACCCGCTTTTCTCTGGTCTCATTGCTGGAAGACACCTATCTGTGCAGCTCACTAGGGCAGGTGGCTAGTATCACCACCTCATCACTGGTTAGTCCACTCTGTTCTAACAAGTCTCTTCTTAGCCTGAGATATGTACATTCTTGGAATTAGGGGAGGCAAAATGTCCAAGCACTGCTTGGTTTTTACAGAGTCTTCAGATGGTACAGAATGTAGTTGTATTATTTCTAAAATAGTGTCATCTTAATGGAAACACAAAATGTAAAAATCCATAGAAAAAACCTGTGGATCCTCAGGAATGGGATTGGGACTCATCATCTGAGAGGTACTGGCATGGATCTAAGTGATCTGCTGTTATAAAATAAGAGTTTTTCTGTCCCTGTAGCTTTTTACAATGGTACACAGAGGGTTTGGGGATCTTCTTTATTCTAATGGTGATGCTGTAACTCCAAATAGGGAGCTTATTTCTGCTCTTCTCTGTGGGGTGCACCTTCAGGGTATGCTTCCATCTGTGGGGGTGCACTCAGCATTTCCAAGTGGAACTCCAGCCAGACAGACATTCATGGCTGCCCCTCCCTTGCTAAGGTCCTTTGATAGTGTAGGCAAGATAGTTGCATGGGTCAGTTTCAGGGCTTTTGTGAGAAGACATGATTGTGTTATGCTGCCTGTGATAAAAGACACCTTACTTTCCTGAGTAGAAGACACGATCTAAAACACTGTCTTTTCCTTTCATTCAGTTGTTTGTTGCCAATCTCAGCATTTCAAAATGGCCACAATATTTCACAAGAGGTGTTCTTGTTCCTCTTTGAAAATCAGGCCTCTGGCCTGTGGGGCGTTTGGGGAATTCGTACCCACCGAGCCATGCATGCTCTGGCTGAAGTTCTGATGAAAACTGAGTTAACGAGTTTCTCCTAAGACATTAATGCTGAGAGTCTGAGAAGAGGCGCTTCCCCATCAGACAAGACAGGGTCCCTCCTGCTGGGCTCCGGCAGCCCAAGCAGCTCCGGTGGAGTGTTTACCAAACACTCATCTGCCGGATGGTAAAAATCACATGTTAATGTGAGCACCGTGGCATGTTGTGCAATCTCAGCTGCTCTGGTTGCCATTAATCAGCACCGAGAGAAAAACCTTTGGTGTCTAATTAGCACAGAGAACATAAGGTCCAATTTATGGACTTTAAAAACAAGAAGGAGCCGGGCTTGGTAGCTCAGCCTGCAATCCCGAGCCTTGGGAGGCTGAGGTGAGTGGATTGCCTGAGGCCGCGGGTTTGAGACCCGCCTGGGCAACTTGGCGAGACCTCATCTCTACAATAAGTCAAAAAATTAGCTGGGCGTGGTAGCACATGCCTGTAGTTCCAGCTACTTGGAAGACTGAGGCAGAAGGATCGCCGGAGCCCAGCAGGTCGAGGCTGCGGTGACTGGGAGCGGCCACTGCACTCCAGTCTGGGCGACAGAGTGAAACTCCAACTCAAAAAAAAAATATTTGCCAACATCAAAAAGTTAGAAGCCATCAGATAAAAAATCTAGACATCAAGCATCTCTTAAAAAACTAGACAAACGGGCCACACCCCATTCCCTCACTCTACTGCACATGGGTGCCCTGTGTCCGCCGACCACCCCATTCTTGTCGTCTCCTGGGCTCTAAGCTGGCCTCCCCTGCCATGCCTCGCTGCTGACTTTCTCATATGCTCAGGTGAATCCCTTGCTCGTATTACCTGCCTGGCCTCCCAGACACTTGACATTGTAGCTCTCGCTCTTACCTGCTGCTCACACGGCTACTCCATTTAGGTTTTGCATCTGAGGACACCCCATGTTATCCGTGATGCATTTGGCTTGCATACTGTGCTCGTCTGTGTGTGTCCCATGAGCTAGTCTACAGGTCAACTTCGGTAATGAGGGTCCTGCCCTGATTTTGGAAGCGGGAAGGTGGACAAGAAAGATAAAAACAGGTGGAATTTGCTTGTGTTTCTCCTCATAAATATCTCTAAAAACTTTCAGGCTTGTGCCAGCTGGAGTCCAGTGTTAGATGGGACCTGTGTTTGCACACACTTTCCCATTTCTTTCCATTTTACATGTCCATGTTTCACTGTGTTCTGCAAGGGGCATCATGACTGCTAAATAATCTGCCGTCTGCCTAGATCTGAGAGTTGAAGAATCATCAGGTTGTTTTTTTCTCCCCGTCTCTCTGCCTCCCATTGCCTTCCTTGCTAATGCCAGCAGCAGCTTTGAATTAGAAAGTAGGCCAGTGGGAAGTGGGGCATTTCTTTCTATTTTGAATTCTGTGTGTCAGTGTGGCCTGTTGGGGACCAAAGTCTGGCCCCTAAAACAGGCAGCAGATGAACGCCAGCTCCCAACACCCTCTTCTTTGAGGAGCCCTGGGTTGTTTGCATCCTCAGGCATTTGGGGGAAAGATGGTCACCAGGAGATGAAACATGCTGCAGGTAGAAGCAGATGCTGAGGGACATGTCAGGTGCTATTAGTGAAGGGAGGCTTGGGCTCCAAGGAAGTCACTCTGCGGAACAGGACTGCAAGTTGGTGACAACTTCACTGATTTACTGTGCTGTCATTTAGCACATTATTAAAATGTTTTTCTGCAGAGTAATTTATCTTTGGGAAATGTATTATGTTCTGCCTGCTGCTCCTTGAGGAGAGAGAAAGTTAGGGGGGGTGGAAGGTGGCAGAGTAATGTAGGTCATGGCACAAATTCCCAGCTGACTTTTCAGCAGAAAACATAGTTCATGTTTCCCACACCCCACCCTCTGCCCCCATTCACTGCTGCATTTACTCTTAAAATTGTTATATACATGTATATTTGACTGAAATATCAGCTGCCGTGTTCTCCCAGTGAGCAGCTTAAGCTTAGCTCAGGGATGAAATGCCCTGACCCTTGCACTGCTGGGGTTCACTTGAACTCATACTGAGACCTTTTGCCCTGCAAGTCACTGCTAACAGGAAGCACATAGTTTCTCCCCAGGAACTTTTGACTCACATTGCTTCTGTAGACTGGCCAGAACCTTTCAGGCTTCGGAGACCTCAGCACAGCCCATTTGCCAGAAAGGAGTACCAACACTGTTAAAGATGTCTCAAACACACAGGCAGACTGGTTAGGTGTGTCCTAAAGTAAAATTTACATGGGAATGACGTTCAGTGGGTGAACGTGGCCCAGTCTGGCACCTTCCCAACAACTCTCTCTTCTATTTCCCCTTGGCCTGTGGCCCTCTAAGACAGGTGAGTTGAGACCTGTGGTAGACAAATGGAAAGCCTGGAGATCCAGGAGTCAGTGGCTATCCCCAACTCTGCCACTAAGGAGGAGATTGGCCTTCAGCCTCTCCAAGTCTTCGTATCTGAGTGGTCTCACTGATGTGTTGGGTATTAAGTGAGGTCATCCCTGTAAGCGTGTCTTCTCAGTGCCTACTTCTATTGTGAGAGAATCCCAAGGAATGGGAGGAGAGAGTCCTTACAAAAACCCTACAGACATTACTCTGTCTCTCCACCCAGCCTCCCACTCATTCATCCATCTTTACAGGTAAAACAATAGCGTCTAAGGAAATTTAGGTGATTTCCTTAAGGTCATTCCAAGAGAAAGTGGCGGGCAGAAGCAAAAATCCTGAGACTGTGTCACCCTGAGATATGGGTACTATTTAGTACACAGTAGGTGCTCATTAAACAGTAACTGTCATAATATGAATTATTCCAAAAGTCAGCCTTTCCCTCTCTCCTTGCCCGACCCAGAATGTCCCAATCAAGATGAAGTGATTCGGTGCCTGTGCTGGGGTACCAGGGTGAAACACCTGAGCACTGGCTCTTCAGGGGCCACAGAGTCACCCTGGGCCCAGATGGCCTGCAGGTCTCCTGCAAGGACCAGGTCAATCCCACAGGAAAACAGCCTAGTTCCTAAGAAGCTCATTACCCAAAGGCCCCTCCTCTAGAAAAGTCTTAGCCCTATTACCTGAAGAGATGACATGTAAAATGCCACTTCATCATCTCCTGCCACCCGGCCTGGCTGTTTCTGGGGCTGCTGTTAAGAGTTGCAGCAAAAGCACAGTCCCCAGGGTGCTGGCCCTCCAGGTTCCAAAGGAGAGACCAAAGGAGATTGTAATGAATTGCTTTTTTTTTTTTTGAGTCAGGATTTTACTGTGTCACCAGGCTGGAGGAAAGTGACACAATCATGGCTCACCACAGCCTTGACCTCCTAGGCTCAGGCGATCCTTCTGCCTCAGCCTCCTTAGTGGCTGGGACTACAGGCATGTGCTACCATGCATGACTAATTTTTTAAATTTTTTTTTGGCAGAGACAGGGTGTTACTATGTTGCCCAGGCTGGTCTTGAACTTTTGGGCTCAAGCTGAT